TTTTAAAATTCAGTGACCCTATAAAAACTTTTTGCAAGGTTCAATGAACTTCTAAATTCACTCATTTGTTTATGTTCCTTGATGTCAGTATCAGATTTGAAATCCCAACATGGGTTGATGGGTATTTTGTGATTTGAAGCCACAACGAAATTTGGGGGGAGGGGGGGTTGGCCCACTAAAGTAGCATCTGTTTGGGTTTTGCTGTCCGTCCACAGGCGCGGAGGCGCCCCCGCCCCCTCCAATAAGGGGTGCCTAATACCACAGGCGCGCCAATTCGGCGCCCTATTTGGACGGGTCCTGTCCCTCTATCTTTTTCCCATCCATTTAGCCCCTGTTTCCTCAACACAATTTTTATTAAAATTTTAATTTCTAATTCCTACCAAACATATTTAGTACAATTTATAATTTTATGTACGGTGAGGAAGATGAACAGATAAGATTGAATTAATTATTCTCATCCATTTTGGAGGCAACTAATTCAGTGGCATAGAAAATATCTGACCAAAGTACACCTCAAAATTGGGTGAGCTCTTGGAATTAGTACTGATAATCAACCTTAGGGTTTGTTTGAAACCTAATTTTTCGGATTTTAAATAATAATTTTTTGAATATTGCATAATTAAAAAGTAAAAATTTTGAATTTACGAATGAGATTTTAAAGGATGTAATTCAAATATGAGCTTAATATCATTTATATTAATTTCCAAATATTTGGAAACTTTTTTCTAAGAATTTTATTCATTGTACTACTTTTTTGCTGCACTCCACAAATTAATTCCTATACTCAAAGAAAAGGTTAAGGGTCCATTTTGCATAACTTTTGTTTTTACTTCTACTTTTTGTAAGAGAGTTTTTGGAAAAAGTTATTTTAATTTTTGTTTGAAAACTAATATTTAAAAGTATTTTCTATTCCGGAAGTGCTTTTAGAAGAAGTCATATTGAACCAACTTTCTCTACAAGCTCTTTTAACCATCAAAAGCATTTTAACAAAATTAACCAAACGGGTTTAAAAACAGCTTTTGAACCTCAAAAGCACATTTTGACTTTTCAAAAGCCATGCCAAACGGGCTCTAAATGGTATGTTAGAAATAGACTTTTCAATGCTCAAATCAGGATTATGATAGAAACGAAGAGTTGACATGAGTGAAGCCTGTTTGAGTCCCATTTTATGGTAAAAGTGCATTTTGAAATTATAGATATAGATTATTGGAGAATGTGTGGTTAACTAATAAAGAAAAATTTTGGATTTTCATGTAATATTATTTTATCGAAGAATTTATGGTTGAAAAGAGAAGTACTAAAATGCAAGGAGAAGTATTTCATTCATGTCGGATTGACAAGGGCTTCCACATGAGGACTTTTCAACTATTCAGGCCATTTTTGTCGCAGGCTTCTTTTCACCAGTTGATATAACCTCATTATCTTTAGGAAAAATTTCATAAGTAAGAGATTAAGCTCCCGCTTGTTTTCTATTTTTTTCTCATTAAAATGAAAAATATAACCATTATCGATCATATCAAGTCACTAATTTTGAATTTTTATATCTTGTGTGGGGCTTATAACGGTTATAATTTTCAT